ATGAATTAAATCAGATTTTCAATCTTACGAGCACACGCGTGTGTCCTGACCTCGGCTCGCGGTCGCGAACGAGAAGACCGTGAACAGAAACGCGGTGCCCAACGAGGTCGAGCCGGCTCGTTGAATTACCGGCATTAACCGACGCCGTATAATATAACACGCTCATTAAGAAAACACATATCATTTAAGGGAAATATATTACAAAATTACGCGAAAGCGAGTAATTATCGGGTCGGCCGCGGCGTTTTCATCTATAGCCGGGTACGAAGGAAACAGAATTCCGCGGCCAGGAGGAAAATGAACATAACTGTGTATACGTTTCATTTTCATTTTTACTTTTTCGTTAATTACTTCGTTGAACCCTGGATTCTCCATTTCAATTCAATTTATTAATTGAAAGCGAATGATCCCGATAATTCTACTGTATACAATCCTAGTAGCTTGCCCAGAACTTACGCGTAACAGTTAGAAAGACGTGTGTTTTTTTATTGTTGAGAAGCAACTAACGTCACAATTTATTCTGGTGTATTTGAAGTATAATCAGTTTCTTTGTATGCTACTCCTATGTTTTAAAACTTCGTTGCTAAAGCCGGTGATTTCTAAGCGTTCGTCCGACTGAAGTGCGCGCATTGATAAAGTAACAGGAAACGGCTACGTAATTATGAGAACGTTTGCATTTCTCGTGCACGTATATTTCCTATGCAAATATCGCTATTAAAAAATGACACCGTTGAATTGTGCATGGAGATATGTAAACGTTAGTTGGAGTTAGTCACTTTGAAGAGATAAAAATAAACTTGTACGTTCCGCTGGCAACTTTGTACAGGTTACTTAAAAAACCGCGTCAGAAATATTGCATTCAGCTGAGATGAACGTTCTCAATGAAAATAGCCAGACGACGAAATAATAATTTTAATATTTCAATACCAATTGTATCTTATTTACCATACTTTATTCGCCATCATATTCAGAATATTCTGCTTATACCATATTGTCCTCGTTACATCTCACCCGTTATCTTACTATCCTATTACTATGTCCTAACCAGTAACTTATAAATACATTTACAAATATCCGCAACAAATTACCCTCGAAGAAACCAAACCAAACAACACACTCCGAAACATACAAATTCATCAACTAACTCCATCAAAATTTCCTCCCGCAGGTCCGTCAACCACGAAAGAAGCGTCATATTTGCGGGTGTCTCCTTGAACGAGTTGGGCACCGCTTCGAGGAGTATGTGTCGGGGGGTGGTTATTTTAATTACTGTCCGGCGGCTTTAAATTAAAGAGCTGGGTTATTCCGGTGCCGACCAACCCCTCTACTCTTCCTTCTGCTTCGGTGACTGGTAAGCACATAGCCTCCCTCGGCAGGCAACTCGCCTCACCTATCTTTCTCCCTCGTAACCGGCCCCAACCCTCGGCCATCTCTCCCCTCCCTCTTCTTCTTCTCTTCGTTAGGTAACTCCGGTGCGTGGACCGACATTACGGCCGCCATTCTTTACACCCGGCCAAGTGGCGCTGGTTATGTTTGACGCTAACCGGGTAACCACGCTAAATTGTCTAAACTGCGCCAGATTAAGCGAGGCTGCCACCCGTTCAAACACCGCCGCCCCCTCGGTGTCCAGAAATTAACCGACCCTCAGCCCTTAGACCCCCGGTCCCCGGAGGGAGGTCACGAAGAATTCCAGGAATTGTTTCATTTAGCTGCTAAACTGACCGGAGAGAGCGCACGGTCGTCGGTACACCCAGTTTTCAAGGAACCGAACCGGTGACCCGGTGTGTTTTACGCGGCGCCGTTCATCCTGCCGATTGAAAACGTTCGAACGTTTACACGGGCCCCGTTCGCTCGCTCTCCCTCCCCCTGATCCCTGTCTTTCTTTCCGGAAACCGAGCGGAAAGAATGGCGGCCCATTGTCGTTGCCCCCCTTCACAGATCGCCTGGGATCTGTAATAAAAGTTCGGTCCCAATTATTCGGGCTGGAACGAAGGAGAAATATAGGGCAGATTATACATTAACCTTAGAACTCCTGCGTGGGGGGGACGTCAAACCTATAACTCAAGAAAGTTTAATAAGAGGTACTTTGCTTGCGCCGAAAATTCTTGAAAAATGATGTATCTATGTTTCAGACTCGCGGGAGCGTTCGAAGCTCTTGTTTAAAGTTTCCCGACTTGCGGGTTTCGCGAACTTTTTCGGAGTTCTGGGATTAATCCTTTTCGGGTGGCGGAGATATGATATTCATACTGGGAGCGAATGGATATATCAATTTATCGTTGTACTATCAATTGATAATTTGGTTTTACAATTAGCAGAATTTCGAATCGACATTATTCATCTATTCGTTCAAGGTATTGCTCTCTATGCTATCAAAATTTAACAACTCAATGTTATTCCATCGACTCCAGAAATTATGATTCCTAGTTTGATCGTAATTATTACGAACGTTTACACGGTATTGAAACGGTACTGATTGTTTATTCTAGGATTAAAAATCTCATTAACCATTTTCTTATCATTAAGAAAAAATGTATAGGACACATGTGATCTTGGAATGCCGTTCAACTTGATATCCATCGTCTACCATCCAGAAAATTGAAACTCTTTTCGAATTCGATTTCTACAAACAAATTTCCAGATAGATGAGTTACACGAACGAGAGGTGTTTACATAACGCGTACACGATTTCCTCGGAAACGCTGTCCTGGCGAAGCGTGTAGATTTTAATACACTGGTAGATATACAAAGTGACGAGGAGCGGGGACACTTTTCTGCGGCGGTACGCAAATCGGCCCTGGCCCGCGCGTTCGCTTTACCTTTCCACGACGTCCACGAAGTCAGACGACCACGGCGATATTCTAATGTATTATAATAAGGCTCGAGGGGAAAGCTCCTCGCGCGAGAAGCCATTGGCCCATTTTCGCTTAAGACCGTTACCGATTGGCCGTCCGCAGGAGAAACACTGCATTATGTATGTTCCCGTTATCTCCGGACCCAAGAACGCTTCAACACGCAGATTACCACCACCTTCTGTCCCTCTCTATTTCGTTTCTTTGTTCGTTCTCTGTCCTCGACTTCCAATCCTTATCACACATACACGCTTCGTCTCCTTTAAAGGGTTATGTACACCTAGAATGGTAGGAGATCAACCAGTGTACAAATATTTTTTCTGCAAAGACTAACACATACTTTGAAGGATTTCCTAATGGACATGAGTAATAATAGTGTTTTAATCGTGAAATAAAATTTTGTTTACTACAGACTATATCTTGAGCCACAAAGATCTCGTAAGACACTGATTTTAATTAGAGTTAGGGTAACCATGAAAAAAAATTAACAAATGTGTTGTTTTACACTGTATTCTGAAACATTCTTCTAGTTCTATCACTTTCCAATTTATACAAAAAAAACATATTGCTTTCACTTCTCACAACTTCAAAGTCGATTTTCATCCTTTCAACCCAATCAACCAACGAGAACAAACGCGCAAGTACTTTCATATTATCATTTAACCATTCTCTGCTACAGATCCATTGAAAGCAGTGGACGTCTCTCGTGTTCCTCAGTATTCCCCATAGTTCCTTTCGGAACATGCTTTTTCGTAAAAGGGACGATATCATCCTCCTCTCGTTAGCGTTCCCAGCGCGAAGGAGAATAGTCCGGCGGTGACTTATCGAGTAGGAGTGTCGTCTCCCACTAATTTTAACTCTTTCTCGCGTCTCCGGAAGTGCGCCACCCACCCTTCCTTGTTCGTGAAGCCGCGCCTGCCGCTTCCTTTTCCACCGGAATCGAATCCAGCCACCAGAGATTCCCGATACGGGTGGTAAACACGTTCGGGATTAGTATCGCCGATTCCATTGTCCGATTGCGTTCCTCGGATGGGATGAACCGGGATTTACGATTCCGGCTTCGAGCCGGGACGGGATAAGTGTTCTTTATTCTATCAAAGAAGTTCCGGCAAGACACTCTCTCTCCACGGTCACGGGGATGTTTTCTCTTTGTCGGGATCTCGGCGACGACTGGGCTTGAGGGGGTGGCTAGGATCCTCCGTGTGGGCGTTCCTGTTTCCACGTTTGAGTCCATCCACTTCAGGGATTCCGGTTATGGTTGTGTACAATGTATTTCTAAATGCTCGCCCGTTGCGTACGGAATCGAGGATTTTGGCGGTCCGTTCGAGATCGCAGTTTCGTTGAGCGGATATCGCGCGTTCACGGAAATTGATTTTGCATCGTGTCATAAGTGGACTTCAATTCTTGACACGTTCACTTCAATCGCGCTAAACGAAGTTTAAAGTGTACAGTTCGAATGCAAGATTCAAGAAAATTTCATGCTTTTATATGTTCAGTTTTAATGAAATTTCACTAGTCAAAAATGTAATCTACAGAGTAAATTCGAAACAAATGAACAATGTTTGTAAATTAAAATTTTTGTTAAACTTAAAAGCTAGAGGAACGTTCTTAGAAACACAATGTTTGCAGTGTGATTCTTCTTTCAATAGTACTCAAAACGAATGTAAAATATTTGTTTGAAGTATGAAACAACTACGTTAAAACAGCCTACACCTATCGACGTTGTATTAACACGAACAATGAATCGATACATGTCAACAAAAACACCCATCAAGCGTCAAGCTTCTTTCGTCCATCTTTGGCAAGCTTCTGCTAGCGAAGGGTTGCTTTAACGTGGCCGAAGTCTGTCCGAGAGTGATTCGACGCAGGTCGGGGGATGTAACGGGGGTGGTTGGCTCGCAGTCGGCCTCCTCCTCCCTCTCCTCGGCGGAGGATGGTAGGGCACTCGATGTTTAATACATAGGATAGTGGCGATATTGCGACACATACAGGGGCTCGCAGCAGCTCCATGTCTCAGTGACAGGGTGCGAAGTCGCAGCGGCCTCCTGGCGGGACGCGGCACTCAACCAGGGAAGTGTTGTCGGGCTTTTCAGGAGCTTTCAAGTGCTTTCGCAGTTGCCTCGAGTGCCGTAAGAGGCTTTCAGAAACGGAGGCAGAAACGGGCTTTTTAATAGGGCCGAGAAGGGCTCCTCTCACTCCTACCCCCG